CCCCACTGACGAATTCTTAAAAAATGCCCTGTACTATCTCATGTAATGCTTTGGGCGAACATAATTTTAAAAAATGAATGATGATCTCCTCTGTGTGTGCGCTGAAACTGAAGGAGCAAGCTTAACAGTAAACGAAAACAAAATGGCGGATATGGCTATATATAGATTCCGTGAAGAGGAATGTGAAGAAGAAGAAATACATAACTGCCTTTTTGTTGCTTATGGCATGCGATGACGTCGTAGGCTATACGAGGTTCTTATCGGCAGACATGCATGGTCAAGCAGGACCGTCCACAGCGGGGGGGGGGGGGGCAAGAGGGGGCAACTTTCCCCCCTAGAGAAAACTATATTTACGATTTTTAGAATAACATTAATTATTCTTTGGGTTTTGGGGACTTTTTTCGACATGTAGGCCTTACTGCCCCCTGGTGAAAAAATCCTGCGTACGATCCTGTGGTAAAGGCAATGGATAATGCGGAGAGAAACACTAGGGGCGCATACAAATCTTATTCGCGAGTTAAACACTGAAGATCCCGAACGATTCTGGCAATATCATCGCTTAAATATAAAGAAGTTAGAGAATCATTCAATGCCAAAGTTCACCGCACACTAGAGCTTCCTGCTTACTAGCACGCTGCCACGAATGACATTTTACTAAGCAGAAAGCTCTAGTGTGCGCCGGACTTAAGAGACTTACCCTCTCAGTTCCGTAGGCACCTCGATGGCTAATTACCAGCAGAATTATTTTGTAATGTTTGTACAGAGGGTGCCGGTAACAAGGGATTGCAGTAAAAACTGCGTTTCCTTATTAGTCGTAAAATTTCCAATTTCAGATTTTGGAAATTTGGAAAGCGTGCTCAGCATTGTCTGCGGAGGAGACTATAACAGACTAACAAACTCACATACCGAATACCGCAATTAAAAGAAGATCCCATAGCAGGTGGTTTATCTATGTGATGACTTTTAAAACGCAATTCTGTGTTTAATTGCTCCCTTTAGAACTAGATTTGCCGTGTGAAAGGTAAATCACTGACTCGCTATAGCAGAAAAATTACCATCCATGGGGTCATAAGTCGTCTTAACTGTAAATGCGGTTTTCGTGGACTTAATTTTTTAATTTAGACAAATTCTCTATTAAAAATTGCTCTGCAGCTGTTCATGAAGCTATTTCACTCTGGAATGTCCAACTTTTGTGGCTTTCATTCTCAGCCCAAGTAACTTAATTTCAATTTACCCAGTCCGAAAATAGGCAAATCCCAGTTCCCATTTTACCCCTTCATGCAGGACCCTCATAGAATAGTCAGAACAAGATGTCACGTGACTTTAATTTGCTTGAAATTGTAAGTATGGATTTATAAATGAAAGGAAGCATACTGAGTGCTGTTTTAGTAAAACGAATTTTTGGTTTTCAAAACTCACATTAAGAGAAAATGGCAATATTCTCTCAATAGACTAGTCACATGAGAATTATGAAAGTTTAATGTTTGTGCAAAATTTTCTCAAACGCAGTGTTAAACCTCAGGATATTTTGTTCCCGTAAGCCTATTTTCTCACGTACGTCTGTCTATGTTAATATCTGCTTGGATGGCTTTTGTTGATTTTGACAACCCAGCCGACTGTTTTCTCGATAACGGTTTTCTACTGTTCAAGCAACTGGTCATACTCCTTCGACAGAAATTCAAACACATTGTCCGGTTGCTTAAGATTTCCAACGCAGTTGCTTAAGGTTTCCAACGGGCAATGGTCGCTTCACTAACTCTTTGATTAGTGTGGTTGCCTCAAAATTAAAGCTCTTTGATTCCAATTAGTTTACCATATTACAATATAGACTGAATACAACAACAACAACAACAACAACAACAACAACAACAACAACAACAACAACAACAACAACAACAACAACAACAACAACAACAACAACAACAACAACAACAACAACAACAGCAACAACAACAACAGCAACAACAACAGCAGCAGCAGCAACAACAACAACAACAACAACAACAACAACAACAACGACAACGACAACGACAACAACAATTTATTTCGCACCACCAAGTGAATAACATTACATGATTTTTTTTTAAATATGTAGATATTATGGCACAGGTCACCAGAACAATAGTGAAAACAAACATGACCGAAGTCACCGAACGGAAAACTTAACTAAAACTAGGCCTGTAAAGCTCTCTTTTTCGCTAACGGAACCGACTGAGACCGACTATATACGGAGACAAGGAGAAAAGATGGCCAATAAAGGAAAGTGAGACCATGCATGCATGGATAGTTAGAACTGTTTTTATTTTTAGTGGTTTATTATCTATCGTGAGACGTAACTACAGGTAGATAAAAAATTTTAAGACTTTAAAGCCCAATGATTTTGGGCGTGTATGTTGATAATACATCGACGAATATCGCAAAAGGCGGCCATGGCAAAACAATCGCTGCGTAGGAAGTTAAACAATGCTTCAAAATATACTGAAAATTTAAAGCCAAAGGCAAAAGAAAACTAAGAGGATGTAATTAGTTAGATCACTGATAAAAAACACCTCTTTTCATTAATTTAAAAATAATTTTCGCGAATCGGCAAAATAGTGTGAGACGCGTGAGTTTTTAGTTCATTTTCTTCGCACAGTCCTTCATAATTGCATGACGCACCTAGGAAATAGCGAACAATGGTTCAGTTTTTAGGAGCAAACTTGGATTCCCGCCAAAAGGTTTACGTAAAAATTCTTCAGATACTGACAGTATATCAGGGAGAATGTCTTTCGCTCTGAAAATCGGACTTCTGTTTGTTTTATATATTTTATTCGTTTGGTTGCATCCTAACTGACCAGAACCAAATCTACGCTGCTAACACAAGCTAAAGGTTTCGTCAAATTTCTGTAGTTGGCGACTGAATGATTTGAAAAAGAATAAAAACAGCTCCGATGTTTTGAGCAAAAGCTGATCATGATGGGCTATAGTCAGAACAAAGAGTTACAAAACGCGTACTTTACAAGATTACAGTGTAATAATTGTCAAGAATAAGGCCGGGAAATAGGTACTGTAGAGAAAATGTCAAAAATATAAAGTTTTAAGATAAGAAAATACTGACAATGACTGCAGGCATGGAGAGAACTGGTTGCAAGTGGGCCAAAGGGTGACACATTTTTATTCCTATGTGACTTGCCTGTCATCTACTGTTGCTTTGGTAGCCACCTCAATAGGTTTCCCGTCGCGCAACGCGACGCACCACTGATTTCGATTATCAAACGGTGAGTTGATCTGATTGAGCGTCGTAACCAGTGGTCATAACACCTCTAATCGCCCAACAAACATCGAATCCCGTAATACGAAACTATATTGCATATTCAGTTACAATGTCGACGTAAACGTAAATCACTGTCGTTAAGTGACTTATTTTGTGTTCGAAACGGAACTAGAGTAATCGCAAAGAGCTACCTGTGTGGGGAATGATACTAATTGCAAGAGCCGCTTGAGTCAAACAAACATTTAATATTGCCTTTCAATGTTTCTCGATAAACTCCTACTCAAACAACAGTACGATAGTACCCCGCCGCCAGTCCAAAATAACAATCTTAATGACAAACGAGGACATTAACAGCTTGGTACGCGCGATGTGATTGGACAACACGCTGCACGTATTGAGTTTATTCAAGCTCTTAAGCCAATCATGTCCGATTATAGGTTGTGAGATTTTCAGTCATTGGTGGATCGGTGATATTGGTAAATGCTAAAGGAATGATCATGCGACTGCTCGAAATACACACGTGTGGAAATCTTGGAATACGCTTGTTGTAGAAAAATACGTTCGCTACTATTGTTTCAAATTGAAGTTTGGCGGGGCTTGGTGTAGCGTTACCTTAATGTAAGCACGCTCGATGCCAGACCTTCGTAGCAAATGATCGAATTTCGTCGACAATCAGGCTCGTCGCATGGAACATGGAAATGTTTTGAGTGAGAAGCAGTCAGCGTATATGAAATTACAGCTACCTACTCGCAATGGGAGATACCGAACAGGATGACAATTTTACGTGTGCAATTACGACGAAGCTTAATAGTTCGGCTGAAAATAAAAAGAACACGGTGGTCGAATATAGATCGCCAAATCGACCGAGATCACTGAAAATTGGACTGATTGTTTCTATTGGATTGAATGCAATATTCGCCGTGTTGTTCGTCGTAGTATTTATTTTGCTAAGCGATATGAATGCGAGATTGTCTCGATTCGACGAGCTTTTAAACAAAGAGAAAGTTAGGCCTGCCGAAGGATATGGTTCAAATAAAGTTGAAGCAGTCATTACGCCTACAGATAGCGGTTATAGGAGCAGTACTCGACCGCAGGAATCATTGGTAATGTTTTGTTGTTGTACGTAAGAAGCATTTGAATGCCAAGTATAATTTGCGAATATAAACGTATCAATACGATTTTGTTACATTCATTATACGCCAAGATTTTGTTCGTTGTATGGCCGGTGTGGATATTTTACATTATTAAAGAATAACGGGAATTTGTCATCGCTTTTGTGTGACTGGGTAGGGTTTTGAAGTACGTCGTTTCGAAACATTGAAGGCCCTTTTGTGATCTTTTAGATCCAGACGCCTACTCAAGTCCATACACGAAGGAAATATCCGCCGATTGTGCCTACCGCAACAAATGTGAATACATGCAAGTGTCGGGGCCCACCAGGTATTTAACTGTTTAAAACATCGCCTATTAATATTTTTATAAATTGCTCATTTGCCTATCTTCGCAACCAAGTCGTAAATTGTTTATTCTACGGCACGAAAGCCCACAATTAGAGGCTGGCAAGATTAACGATTTTAATACTTTGGCATGTACACACAAGCCAGTCGATAAGGTCTAATATGTTTGGTCAATAGTGGTCAGTAGAGGTAAAATTACCGTTCGATCTGCAGCTGTTTTGCTAGTACTTTGTCTGCTCGAATGCCCGTGAGGTGCGAACCGTTTTAACGTATACAAGTCGAGGCGATATTTCCTGCGTGGTTTGATTGCCAATTATTGATTGGCATGATCTGAGTAATTGACGTTCATATGAAACTATAGTTTTTAATTCCGTTCGCTCACTTGTAACGGGCCTGACAAGTTTGCTTTGGATTTGTGTGAGTTATTAAAGCCACATTTGCAATTGTTTCGCAGCTTATAGCTTCACATTATCAAACACAAAACGAGCTAAAGAGTGTGAGAGCGTTCGGCTAACGCTGTTGGTAAATAACAAGCGAAGCGAAGCATATCGAACCGATGGTGGTGTTGGAATCTCAACTATTGATTCTTGCCCGTAAACAATAGTGAGAACGAGCTGAAATCAGATAATGAGAGTGTAGACACGAGCTAGTAGGTGGCAGCACACACCTCCCCCGTTCTGTATTGAAATCATTTCAAAAGTCTAGTCAGTCCTAACAAGTTCACGAGCTGGGAAGGTGAACGCCGATTAGCAGCAAACACGTCTTTTATTTAGCTTTTCAATAGGCAAGTGTGTGCCCGGAGAGCTTCCGTGTTCTCTGTAAACGATTTTTACTGCAAGTTCATTGTCTGCGAAGTATGACAGCTCATTCCCTGTCGATCTAATACTTGAAAATCATAAGAGATCGCGCTTTGCCATTGTAAAATGTTGCAAATGTTGCAATATACTTGTTCGAGTCGAACTGATTTATTCTTAATTGCTAATTTGCTACTTTTTGTCATGTTCGCGTACTTTCGCGCGTTTAGGAATGTACATGTACGTATTTTGACTGCGACGCTTTGGATCGCTTAAAACGCAATAGTTTGTTGAGAGCTGCACTAGAGCAACATCCTGCATGCAATTGCAAATCTAAATCACTGCTGTTGACCGCGTATGGAGCGCCGTGCGTGCCACCCAGTGTTTTATATAAATATAGACTATTTCTTTTCATAACGGTATAACAGTTAAGATTATACCGCCATTTGCCACTACGTTTGAGATTCCTTCACTTGATTGTTAGTAAAACGGCGGCGCTGCACGTCGGCTGCTAATTAAAATCAATGGCCTAGTCCGTTTTAACGAGTAAATTAAAAGCTGACTGCTACAGTACATCGGCATCGCGACGTTTGGTACTGCGGCTATATTTATTTAACCGAAGAGCATTGCTTTATATTAATAATCATCACAAAGACATTTATCAAACATAAGATGTTATCTCTTCAAGCCCACGAAAGCTTCAAAGCGTAGTCAAATTACTTGCAAATCAGATTAACCAGTTTTACTGCTCCCCACTCACTACATTTAATTTGTAGTTGTTATTAGGTTATTGAAAGGCTTTTTGTACCTGTAAAACTGGGATGATTTTGCCGTGCTTTTGTAGCATGCCATGCACGTGAATACCAAAGGTTATTTAATTGTTGAGACTCGTGGACAAAGTGGATAAGTGCGAAACGAAACGCAAATACGTTTTATCTTACATCGCTCTTGAGTTTCCAGCTTTTATCTGTATTATTTTTGGCGAGAATGTCTGCATTGTCTGAAGGCTTGCCACGTATCAAACCTTGAACCATTTGCTGCGTATGACCATAGGCATAGTGATATCTTAAATAGTATACATACTACATAGATAGATATTCAGTGTTTGGTAGTTTTATATGTTACGTGATCTGCGTTTCGTCTATGCGGGCAACTTTACTCTTTAGTCTTTAGAGACTTAGCTGCATTATTAATTAATTTAGATTATTTTCATATATCTTTCAACTTAAATTATAAAACACTCCAACTTATCTTAAAGTTAAAATAGTAGGAATTTGTTAGGCATCTTTTGAGTGCTGCAATTTAAGCGAAAGAGTATGGATCATATCCAAATTCGTAGCGTATACATACCTAATATGCCTATCATGTACAGTAAACAGTTAAATTTCATGGCTCAATAACCTGGCTGACAAGCATCCACCAAATAAATATAATGTAAAATACAACAGAAAATATTAAATTATTGGTCAACATGTGCATTCTCCATCAGAGTATGGAATGAATTTATAGAATAGAATACTAGAACTGTTCTATATTATTACTATTAGAGATTTTTCCATCATGCTATGGAAACATGAATATGCATGTGGGCAGTGATGATAGATAAATTATACTTTTTTCAAAACAGTGTGCTATAGAACCATATGAGATATCTATGTATAAAACCCATATAACATACACGCTGCTAGATTTACAGAAAAACGATCCAAAAATTACAGATATGAATTATGCGATTTTAAAGCTACATTTGCTACATTAATAGTATTTTGAATATGATACTAGTTGTGATTAATGTATCAGTATGTCATGCGTGCATCAGGTCATATATTTCTGAAAGTATATAAGATTGAAGTCCTATATATAAGTAGGATCCTCCCTGTATTGTTTCAAACCAACGACATAGGAGTGGTTTCTTGCTGACAGGAAATTTAAATTATGGATTTAGGAAGCAGGTTTCTCTCAGGAACAATGTTGGCAACCCCCATAATGTTACTTACTCATTGTCTATCGTTCATGTGTCTGAACAGCAATTAAATTTTGCCCAAGGAAATGACATGGTCTAATTTAACATATCCTAGAAATTGCAACATCTGAATTTACTTTTGATATTGATATGTAGGTATTTGCCCAGATTGTAATCTGTAAACTGAAAGTTATACATTAACCATCGATGAGTGATTTGTCTTTTATTTGTTTAATTTAAATGGCAGAGATGCCAATTTTGGGGTGGCTGGCTGTATGTTTACATTAATATGCAGAAACGTTTTAATTTACTAATTTGTGTACAAGCCTAAATTCAACATGTACATACCTAAAATAATTACTTATAACCCATTCCCAGTGTTCTCCCCTTGATGAATAAAATGTCTGCACTAGACAGGAAAATAATAAAGTAAAGGGTCACATTGTTAAATATACTGACTTAGTTTAGTAGGCTTCCATACCAATGGCCCATAGTTTGGCAGCTCAAGTGAGTAAAACCATATATGTCATCATTGAAACATTAATGCAGTCCACATTTAAGGAAAAAACAAGCCGTATTTGCTAATAAGTCAGTTCAAATGCTAGTTTAAGGTATTTAAAGGTTTGACCAAGTGGTTACTTTTACAGTAGAAAATATTGGTATCAATTTATATGGACAACCTCAGGCTGGCCTGGTTGCAAAGTTCACACTTACAAACAGACAAGATTTAAACTAAATGAAAATTTCCCCACATAGAAACACTCATCAACTGAACTGGGCCAAAATAACAGGGTGGGTCTGGTTACCAGAATTTGTTTCAAGCCATAAAGGCACCTTGTTCACAGTGCACACAAGAACGCACTTTATATGGTAATACTTCTTATACTGTAAGTTGCTTCAAGGTATTTTTAGAAATGGTCAAAATAACCAAATCATCCCAGTGGCAAACAGGATAAAATTTACTAGGCTGTCTCGAGTAGCCAGCCAGCATGGCTCCACATATAAAACAGCCTCTAATTATAAGCTCACGTTTCGAGAATCTATTACCAAGTGAATTTGCTAGTACTGTACTTCCAAACAATCAAAATATTCCTATGATTGTTCTTTTGACTTTACACTTTGCAGTGAGCTCACCATGTTTTTGCAGTGAGTGGAATCGAAGGCAACAATCGTATCATATTAATTGCTTTTGAGCTGTGTGTTTTGGCATTTGTTAACCAAGCACTAGTGTTTCTTAGACAACCTATTTCCGCAGATTGTATTTAAAGTGGAATTGCTATTCATCTCAACTGCGAGACACAAGTACTAGTTCCGTTTATTTAAAATGTTCTGCAATATATAATGTCTATTTATAATCAGTGACTGGTTTATGTAAGATGCATTGTTTCATGTTATGCCAAAATGTCAAACTGATCATTTTTAATTTTTTTCTGTTTGTGATATTATTTATGGGTGGAGGAATATTAAGGCTGGTCATATGAAGTTGAAATATAGTATTGGCTTACAGTCTTTAAGAACCTGAAATTTACAATTAATATACCTGTCAGTTTCAATGGCTGCAATATCTGTGAAACCAATTACAAGTACAGATGTTGACACCTTTAGTTGTAGGCTCAAGAGTGCATCAGTGCAAGAAGATAATTAAATTAAAGTAATCATTAATCTTATATAGCTGCCTGACTTAAAGAAGCTTAATCTTAATGTTTTTTTTCCAATTTTTGAAATTTGGTAGCCCAAATAGTTAGTATTTTATTCTATATTTGACTATTCCCAAAATATGTATTCAAAATAAACTATTAAAGGAGGGCTTTGTTCTTGTTTGTCCTTTTAAATGGTACTCCCAATAAATCATTAGCAATTCAACCAGAAGTTGGATGATATAAAGTGTGATTAAAGAATAAGTTAATGACTAAATGGCAAACCACTGACCTCAAATGTAGAACTGGATATTGACTTTAAACTGACCAAGATATGAAAACTAAATATTTGTGAGGTTTTTGCTTATATGTTGTCAGAATAGGTTATTATAGCCATTAGCCACTGAGGCGGCTAACAACACTTTTGCACGCATTGTAAGATCAGGTTAAGTTTTGGCTGCATTCTGAAATTGAATTTCACCCACTGCCAGGGATGGCTATGTTTGAAATGACTGGAGAAAACTGTGAAATCTGACAAAAACTCTTCAAACTTTAAAAATACGTTTAAAATTCTCATGCGCGTTTCGACCATACGCTTTCTCAACTTAAGCCGGTTTTCCACTTCAAGCGCACCGTGCCGAAACGTATCAAAAACGTTTTTAAATTTCAAAATTTCGTGAATGTTGATTGGTTAGTACTTGCGTAGTAGTACGCCAAAAAGTTGACTTGCGACGAACTTTTCATTTTGATACGCGAATACACCCGGAAGTACGCGGTTTTATAAACCTCTTTTCAATCTGCGCATGCTCACCAGTACGTTTCGGTACGATACGGGCGAAGTGGAAAACCGGCTTTAAACTTTTAAGCAGGGCCGTAGCTTGGGGGGGGGGGGTGACACCCCCTAAAAACAAATTGTCGGCAAAATAACGGATTTGTCGGCAAATTGTTTTCGTAGTCAGCGAAAATATTTGAGTTGCTCGGATTAAAAAGTAATAGTTATGAAAACATTACTGAAAAATTTAACAAATAGACCTTTCCGGTAATTACGTCACGACTACACTGTTTTCAACTTAGAACCTCAGAGGAGCAGAACATCCTTCTTCAACACATGCATAAAAAAGAATTTTGGATTTTGACCAATAAATGTGGAAATAAGCTTAAACACGAAAACGAGGCTAAGGGGCCTTAATAGTCAAAATGCGAAATTCTTTTTTATGCATGTGTTAACAAAAGGATGTTCTGCTTCCCTGACCATAGCCCGTGAGAAACAAACTTAAAATCCATTCCATTTAAGGCGGTCCTAAGTTGAAAACAGTGTAGTCGTGACGTAATTACCGGAAAGGTCTATTACCGTACGTTAACTCGAAAGTTAGTGAAAAATGGTATGCCCCGGCCCCCCCCCCCCCCCGCCGGCCCCACGCTCGCCAACAATTTTGGGGAAAGAAATATTAATTAGCGACTGAAATGTTGTCTGCAAATACGATACTAACACCCCCCTTGCTTTAACAACTCTTCGCGACGGCCCTGAACTTAAGTAATTTATTTAAATAAGGGATTGGTAGCGAGTCTTATATTAAATAATAAAACAGCAAAAAATAGCCTGATCAATGATAACTCCGGACTTACGTAATTCGGAGTCCCATTGAACGCTTGATATCTGTTGGTTGTTACTGCATCAATTTTTTCCCAGTCTAAACCCAGTTACCCAGTCACTTGGAATTTGCCAACAAATTGTTCACATTTAAAAAATAACCATTATCCGGTGAGCTGAATAAAGCTAAGCTTTCAAACAATTATAAACAAAAAGATAATAGATTTCACTGTTTTTAGTCTTTTCGTAATTTCAATCTGATTTGACACCAGCGTTTCGTTTGAACATGAAACCGCCGTTATAGCTATTCACTATTATAGTTATTTTGTAAAGCCTGGAAAGCACGCAATTTTTTATTTACAAGTATACATGTTAAGAGCTAATTCGTTTCTCAATGAAATAATGTTAAAATTTAGTCAGATAAGCCATAGAACCACGTGGAATTTATATATATATATATATATATATATATATATATATATATATATATATATATATATATATATATATATATATATATATATATATATATATATATATATATATATATATATATATATATATATAATATATATATATATATATATATATATATATATATATA